CACACCGCTGGAGGGAAGTTCTGCAGAAGGGCAGCCAGCAACCCAGTGAACTGAGGCACACGGCACCAGAAGTTTGTGCACTCGCCAGGAGCAACTGGGTTGAACTGTTCCGTGCTCATCCGTTGACGCACAAACCCCAGGGGTGAGTTTCTCGCTAGGACCTGAGACAAACCCGGTGTCAGTCAGCTGAACCGCTGGCCACATTTGGTCTGTGTGTCTGTCTCCTGTCAGGCATTGAATAATCACATCTATTAAGCAGGAACGGAGAGATCTCTGCCCAGATACATCATTTTGCGGGAATATTCCAGGTTTTCTGTGACAAATGACCCACAGTTGATTCCAAGTATCAATAATAGGCTGGGAAATTCTGTAATAGGCACCTGAATTCAACTGTTTGTTGTTCCTGGGAACAGAGCCGGCCTCCTTGGGCTCACTATGCGCCTGACCGGGGATTGGAAGGACCCCGCGTGGATCCTTGGGACAGTCTGTTGGCCTGTCCACTCCTCCCTCCACTTTCTGCCACTTTCTTATAAAACTTGGTGTCCGATGACGTTGGGGAGGTGGACTTTTGTAGCCGCTGGCAGCGCGGGCTGTCACCCTTGAGGCCGCAGGCACCCATCCAGCACTTGGACCTGTGGCAATGGGGCTAGCGTGAGTGCCCGCATGTGTTCGCTGCCCCGTGCTGGAGGAGGCTCCTTCAGGAAGGTTGGCCGGTGGCAACAGTGATAGAATATTTATATTTAGCCACATGTGCCGAATGTGGCTGTCACAAGCTTAACATGCTTTCCTGCGAGACCGTTTTGTCTTGTCACTCACTCGAATTCTTTCCTCTATATTTAGATGGCTTACTGTAGCTTTGAAAGTCACTAGCGTTCTGCACGGCGCTGATGTCTCGTAGACGTGCTCCCAAATTCGCCGTGGCCCGTTTCTGAGACTCCCCCTTAATGAGAGCGTAGCCGGGCTTCTCACTCAATGATTCAGAGGCAGCCTGGGGGAAAGCCTCCTGACCCCAGTTTCAGGTCAGGTCTCCCGGCACTTTCCAGGAGTGAGTTCGTGACCGCGTGCGCACAGCTGGACTGACTGTGCCATTGCTGTCCCGAAGCTGTTTTAAACTGGACCCGAGCTGTCCCACGTTCCCATAGGCGTTGTCCTTAGAAACCCGTCCCACAGCTTATTTTCGGGCACCAAATGGGTGTCCGGTAAATGAGTCTCTTGATGGTGAAGTCTGGTATGTTCCTCTCTGCCTGGAGCAGGGGTTCCGTGATGTCCCCCGTCCCCGCCTTCCATGAGGGGGATACGGGGATACAACCCTTCAGTTTGGTTGTTGGCTGAAGCTCTGGTGGGCTGCCTCTGAGCCAAACTCCGAGTCACCGGGCTGGTCTCCTGCACCTGTGCTCGCCATTGCACGGTCACAGGCCTGGTGTCTGGCTGTGGGGGGATGGGGGAGGGGGGGGTGTGCATGCCCCGTAG